AATGAAAAAATATAACAAAGAGAGAAAGAAAAACAAAGGGAGAAAAAAAAAAGATTTTTGGTTGACACAAATTATAGCTGTTGGAATATTAAAAAAATTAAAAAAAAAGAGCACCGCATAATTTTGAAAAAGTAGCGGTTGGGATTCAATCAAATGGTCAGCTTGTTGCAAAACTCACGTGGGGCCAACACTTTTTGTTGTTCACGTGGGCTTCCAAGGTAAAAAACAAAAAAGAAAAAGTAGATTTTGGGCCCACAAACATTATCAGTCCAGGCAATAGTTTGGGTGGAATTCCAGTCCGAATTTGAGATTTCTCAAATTTCCACCTCCCAAAATACATGGGTTGGAGATGGTTTTTGGAGGCTAAACTCAAAATTTGAGTTTCCACCCCAAGGGTTGGAGATGGTCTTAAAGAGTTTAAGTCATGTAACGAAAGGGGTAAAAAATGGAATTTCAAAATTCTCACCAGATAGAGATAAAATTCTCAACTTCTTCAATTTTACCATGGAAGATGGAATTTGTCTGATGCCTGTCTTATTTGCTTCCAAAATTGTCAATGATGCCATGTCCCCTAAGCCATCAGCCAAGTTCCCAAATCTTGAACAACCATTCAGCATAAGAGTTTCAATAGACTTGGATTTATAGAAAGTCAGCGGGAGATCCTTTAGGTCGATGCAGCCTTCAAGATTTACCAAAGAAAGTCTTCCAAGATCCCCGATGGATGAGTGAACCTTAAACAAGTTGTCACAACCTTTCAATATCAACTTTTCGAGATTTGGGAATTTTGAAAAGTCTGGTGATTTTGTCATGTCATGATCATCTTCAACATGAATGATGTCATCATCATTGACCAGATTTTGAGATGGGCGTCGTTCATACGCACAAAGATGGTAATCAATCATATTTTCGTTCATAAATTTGTCCCATACCAGACTAACACCTGTTTTCTTCACCTCCACCCATTTGTCTATTATTATTTCAATCAAGACTTTATCGCCATCTTGCAATTTGAGCTCGTCATTTCTGTCCCTGCCAAAGATAATAACGCGTAGTTCGACAATCGGGTATGATCTCGGCGTCAAGCTCAGTACCCTTGGTCATGTTTTTAATGCTAATATGACAACCGTATATGGCTGAAGAGCAAACGAAGGACAAAGTTAACCCTTTCAAATTACGACCATCACTTTGAGGCACAGTGAAATACACAATATCATCGTCATGGACATAGTCGAACCAATCAGGAATATCATTTCCACTGAGAAAAATGCCACCATATCCGCAAGAAGTCCATCCCTATACCATGTAGAGCCAAATGTCTATAAGAAATACATTCTTATGCATGCATGTGTACATGAGACAATATTAAAAAATAATGCACAATTGTACCTTAAATAGTATACAAAAGTCTTGAATGATATAGAAAAGTCCAGAATTTTAACGAATGTGCAAACCGACTTAACAAAGTCGGTGAATACAAAAAATCTGAGAGATCAAAGTGTGCTATAATATAAAATATTCAAAGAGCTAATCTCACCGACTAAGCTACTGTCGGTTAAGTCTCCTATACATAGGCTTGATGCCTTTACGAAAATGTAAGCTGGAAAACTACAGCTGTCCAATTAATGCAATCATCAAACTCAGGTATTAAAGCCTTGTACCTTTCCTACCTCAGTCAATAGAATAAAAACTACCTTGTTCCTCTTTCAAAAGTTTTCCATTCCAAATTAAACTGTTGTCTTAAACACTACCAACCATTCTCTAAACCTCTTCTCTTTACGTATCAGTAATGGATAAACTAAGGAATCAAAGAATTTAGGAATCGGAGAACTACTAAATCTGTATGGGAAGAATCATTCTCATTAAGCTGTTTACTAAACATATGGAATTAGCAATGGAATTGGATTGATTTCCATTGTTATTGTTTACTAATTTGCATAAATCAGAATCTAAATTAATTTTAGAATTATGATAAAGTGATAAGGGTATTTTTGAAAGTTATTAAGAGAAAATAGGAATGGGAATCGTATCGACTACTCCCCCTTAGTTGATCTGATTCCTAATTTTGAGGGAATGTGATTATGGATTTTGAGATAGGGCCCACTTATTTTTTCATTCCTGATTGCAAGTAAACGCAGGAGAAGTCAGGAATGGAAATCATTCCCTTTCCTTCCATACCCATTACTGATACGTAAACATGCCCTTAAACTAACAGATAGAAAGAGAAAGATGTATGAGAGAGAGAGAGAGAAGGATTGACCTGTAGGATGTTCTTCCTAAAATCGGCAGTGAGATTAGTGCAGTTTTCCATATGAATCTCTGTCATGGAGTTTAATGACTTATACAGGCCTGGAACCTCAGTGAGTTTGCCCGAATCACGTAGATACAATTCTCTTATATTTGACATTTCCGAAAAATCTGGCATTTTTTCCAATGCCATGCAGCCATATGCTCGTAAGACTTCCAAATTTGTTGGTAAATCTGGGATCGCACGAAGATTTTTGCAATTATTTAAAGACAAATTTTGAAGCTGTGAAAGACGACTGAGGCTTGGTAGGCTACAAAAGTCATTGCTTGCAAGATCTAAATTTTCTAAGGAAATTAGGCTACCGAGATCCTTGGGGAATGCATCATCAGTTAAACTCCAGTCTGCAAGAGCTAATTCTCTTAAAGAGCTTAAACTTTGCAACGAATGAGGCAAAAGATTTGTTGATGGCGACCCTTCCACATAACATAAAGATAAAACTTTCAGTTTCTTCAATTTTAATATGGAAGATGGTATTTGTCTTATGGCTGTCTTATTCGCTTCCAGAGTTGTCAATGATACCATGTCCCCTAAGCCCTCAGCCAACTTTTCAAAACTTGAACAACCACCAAGTAGAAGAGTTTCAACAGACTTGGATTTATAGAAATTCAGTGGGAGATCCCTTAGCCTTATGCAGCGTGCAAGATTTACCAAAGAAAGTCTTCCAAGATCCCCGATGGATGAGTGAACCTCAGACAAACTCTCACAGTATCCCAATATCAATTCCTCGAGATTTGGGAGTTTTGAAAAGTCTGGTGATTTTGTTAGCTTATAGGATTGGCTGAGATTAAGGATTTTCAAATTCTGATGCAACTGTTACACAAAAAAAAAAATTAGAATGGAAAATAAAATCCAAAAGGAAGGTCTCTGATACAGAAATTAAACCAAAATGAAGAGAAGGTGAAGTATAATATATGTATAGAACCAGAAGGAAAGAACCAACAACAACTAGGTTGAGATTATTATACCTTGCAATCCTTCCAAACTATTTTGAGTTTGCTATCCTGCAGGTCTAAAGCAACTAGTTTTGGTTGCACAGGAAAGTCATCTGGTATGGACTCTAAAGGAAAATAATGCCAGCACAACCATATTAACTTTTTGGGAAAATCTTTGTACTCTCCAGTGAGCTCTACGTTGCTGAGGTGGAGTAACCTCAGTTTTTTCATCTTGGAAAATGCTTGTGCACTGAATCTGTTCAAATCCAGATCTAAATCTAGATCCGAATCTACATCCGAATCTACATCTGAATGTAGATCCGAATCTACATCCAAATCCAAATGTAGAGCAACTCCTTCAATTTTTTCAGTTCCCTGTTAACAAAAGATACCGAGTTAGAAAAATGATTTACAAACATGAAAAATCCGCATATGTATTAACCAAAAGGTATAATTAATAGTTTGTGTTTGCAATCAAAGCACATATTTTTTGTTGGTTATGCCAAATTGAGCTTGATCTTAATGGATATAATATAAGAAATGGCAATGGGGTCTAGCGAAGTGAAAAATGGTATAAACTTGCAGACTAAGGTCTTAGGTTCAAATGGCACCTGTGAAAAATGGTATGAACTTACAGACTTGGTAGTGTAGATGTGTAAAAACCCCCTCTTTTACTTTGATTTAGATTATCGTTTGTACTAAACAAAAAAAAATAAAGAAATGGAAAAGGACATTTTAATTTACCATGGGCATTTTCATAAACGATATCTCTTCCCAGGTCTCGAAGCAAATCATGCATCATCAGCTCGTTTTCCTCACTAACAGTTACAAGGCACCGTTCAATGAGGACACTGATTCCTATCGTTGCAAAAAAGCCACATCCATCTAATATTTTTGTTACACAGTCCTTGTCCTCTCCAATAAAGAAACAAGATATATCAAGGAATATCTTTCTCGTTGTATGATCAGGTAGCCCGTCATAGCTTATTCTGAGTATTTTTTGAATATCTCCATCAGGGAGGACTTCTTTCCAATCTCTCCAATTGGCTTTCCCATTCTAATGCGGTTCTTTTAATCAAAAAAGACCCAACAACTCGAAGTGCTAGTGGCAAGCCTTGACAGTAACGAATTACACGTTTTGAGAGGTCAAGGTATTCTTGATCAGGATAACCTCTTTTGAAGGCATGCCAACTAAAGAACTCTAGAGCTTCTTCCTCATCCATTTTTTCAGCGATACATGTGCTATCCACTCCAACTTGCTCTAGCAAATGTTTATTTCTTGTTGTTATGACAATTCTACTTCCAGGACCAAACCAATCACGAGCTCCAGCTATTGCTTCTAGTTGCTTTAGATCATCTGCATCGTCAATTATGACAAGTGCTCTTTTATAGCGAAGTCCTTCTCTTATCATATTGATCCCTTTATCAACAGATCCAACCTTTATGCTCTGGTTTTTCAAGATATCATTTAGAAGTTGTTCTTGCAAACCAACCAGACCATTACTGCGTTGGTTTTCAAATACTTCCCTCACGTCTGCAAGGAAACTCCTACCTCCAAAGATAGGTCCAAAATTGTTATAAATGGTTTTGGCAAGAGTTGTTTTTCCAATGCCGCCCATCCCCAAAATACCAATCATGCGAACAACATCCTCAGAACCTGAATTTTTGATATCCAAGTGATTACTCAAAACCTCCATCCGAGAAGTAATTCCAACAAGGTGTTCGATGTATAATTGGTGTTTTCTGTTCACCAAGTTATTAACCACCCCAAGAATTTTCTCGATAAACGTTGCTTCATGCCTGGCAATTAAACACAGAAGCAGAACAAACTACAAGGTTAAATTGAATCCCTAACTTAATAATTTAGAATTAAGATATAATTAACAATTAAGATTGGGATTTAACATTATCAAATAAGAAAGAATGCATGGTTAAAACATAGTTGGAAAAACAAAAACAAAAAGGACAGAAAACATATGGTTGTCAAGTAAGGAGATGATAATCCAAGGAACAAGAAATTAGTAATTACCCATTGTCAGCATTTTTAAGATCTTCCCCACACAAATCTGCTGCTTGACTGAGAGCATTCCTCCATCGCTGTACCTTTTCTTTCTCATGTTTGCCCGCTTCATGTTTCTCAAAAGCTTCTGCAAAACTACTAGTCTGTTTCCGGACATCTGAAGCCTCAACATTATAGAACAATGGAATTGTTGCCTCAATCTTTCTCTACACTCCATGATCTTCACCAGCTCGTCAAGACACCAACTGGAATCGGCATAGCTCTTAGAGAAGACAATTATGGAGATCATGGACTTGTCGATTGCCTGCTCCAGTTGGGTTTTTATAAATTCCGCTCTTTCTAGCTCGTTGTCGTCAAGAAAGGTGCTGATTCCAGCATCAGATAATGCGGCGTGGAGGTGGCCTGTGAAGCCCTTGCGTGTGTCTTCACCTCTGAAGCTCAAGAACACTTGGTACTCCCAACGTTTTGATGAGGAGGATGGTGAGGATGAAGAGGAGGCTTCATGGGCTTTCCTGGCATCCATTAATTGATACTGGTTCAGATCAGACCAACTACAAATTATGCACAAGTTGACCTTCCGATCCGACTTGAGCAGAAGAAGTTATTTTTTTTCTGGGGAGTGGTTTGGCCTTGAGCTTATTGAACGTTTCAGTCAACAGAAGCAAAAGTCCCTACGTTCCTGCCAACATGTCATTGACGCGGAGAGAGGCAGAGAAAGCGTGGAAGGTCAGTGTGAACAGAGGGTAATTTTCTGGAAGCAACCAAAACCAGGGGTCACTTTCTGTGGCTGCTGACTACACGATCTGCTGGACGGCTAAGATTGAAGGTCAGGAAAATGCAAGGAAGCTTAGTGGAAAGAGGCATGAATAGAGAGGGAAGAGACAAGCTCAATGCCTCGTAGTTGCAAACTTACACATTACACTGCTCACTGGGCTCCACATTCATCCTCCTCACAATAATTTCGACACGTGAGCATCCCAAGTTCCAACAAAGGCTGAGGACCAAAACTACCAGATCTCAAGTGCACCAAATTGCTATGCAACATAAGCTGAAGTCAACTTCTAACACCTGTCATGTCATGGACAATGGAAGAGAAAATTCTACAGTAATATACAAGAAATTATTGAGTGGTATTACGAAACTATTAACAGAACTTCTACCAGTTAGTCCTTTGTCATTGTAAGGGGAGCTTTAGAGCAGCTACTATTCACGTGAATAGAGGCTGCCCTAGCACACAAAAAAATTGTGTTTCTAGTAGTGCAAGGCTTGCCATGGCAAATGCTATTCATTTTTTTGTTTTTTTCACAACTTTGTTTACTTAAACAATTAATTTGGATAATATTTTCGGATAAGATTTTTGGGTTCCTACGTGTCAATACTATTCATATCGGATCAGATTTTCGGTTTCAAATTTCAAATAAATTTCAAATTTCAGATACATTTCAAAATTCAAATTCCAGATAAATTTCAAATTTCAGATAAGATTTTCACCCTCTAAAATTGCGCTACGTGTCATCTCTATCGCCTAAATTTTTCTATAAAAGCAGAGGCTTAGCTCATACCTCCCATTGCATATATTCTCTACATCTTCATTTCTCATATTTTAGATTTGATTTCTCAGATTTTAGATTTTATTCTCCATTCTCAATGTCAGACGACATGGAAGAGGTTTTGGAGAAGCAAGAGCGAGAAAGGTGAGCAAGAATGCGTAGAAGAGCTGCAAGCAAGAGGACACAGAGAGATCTAGATGAGCAACTTGATGTGGCCGTTGCTATGCTGAAGGAAGAAAATCAGAGCCGCAGTGGTTCACGAGAAGGCCGAGCACCGAATGTGGACAGACATAGACATTATTGGGGTAAAAATATGATGGAAGATTATTTTATCCCACAATCTCTGTATTATGATGCTCATTTTCAATCTTTCCTTGGCGTACATAATCCCTTTCTTTTGCATATTCTACTTCCATTGCCCTATCGTGCTCTTGTTGTTTCATATCCATTTCAATTCTCATGGCTTGCATCTTTGAAAGCTCCTCCAAATATTTAGATGTATTCTTGGTAGAATTACTCCCTCTCTTCGCCTTCCCCGCCTTCCTCCCAATAGGCCTCAGCTCTTTTTCGATAGGTGAGTCTTGACTCATCGGGGAATCCATAGGTGAATCCGATGCCGGTGTCTCATGGAGTGGCATCTTGTTCAACACTATCGTTGGACCCGTTGGAATAATTTGGAATCTCTTACAATTCTTCACCACCTCCCAACATAGGGTATGGTTAAAACTTTTTTTCCCTTTCCCAGTAGCACCAAAAAAACATTTGTACTTGCATAATCTATACCAAAAAAAAAAAAAAGGAAAGGCAAGAACCTTTAAAAACTATTGGCAATGCAACAAGTATTAAAAAAAA